AGGTCTATCCCCATAACTCTCGTCACACTATTCCTTTCATTTTTAAGCTACGCATCCTTAGTTTCTATTCCAGTCTCCAAATATTCAAATATTGATCACACACAATTGGCAATTAAAATATGTGAATTTTTAGGTTTTGTTCAGAAATTCAACGAGAAATTGTATCACTTCATAAATAATAGTAATAAAATTTATACATCCTTTCATTTTTCACATCCTAACATTTTCCAATTTTTTGATGCCAATAATGATTTACACTAAATAATTAGCAAAACACACACTAACGATATATTTTGGTGGAAGATAGAGCTAAATGATAAATTTGAGGACAAACGAATTACAAGTCACTTCAAACTATCCATAACACCCTTGATATCTTCATCAGTTACAAAATGAATTACTTGTGCAAGAGGGAATATTCAACTCAAATAGAGAAGGAATCCGGATCGAATCACTACAATTCCTTCCTTCCGTGTCATGAAGATTTGCATCATGTAAAATATGGTGCACGTCATCTCTCATATTTTAGCTTCTAATAAAAATGACAAAAACATCAATGTTGAAGTGGAAAGGTATAATGTGGATGGATAGAAAGTTGACCAATCAATTGACAGTTATTCATGTATTACTGGGCTCAATTCTCTCTCAACAGGCTCAAGGTTTGCGATATCTCCGACAAATTCCATTACCCTTGTTTTATCCTCCTCTTCCCGGTGGTCCCGTTGCCCCTTGCTCCCCTTTTTCACCCTTGCACTCCTCGTGTCCCGGGCTAGCCCTTTGGTCCTTTTGGTTCTTGCAATCTAACCGGTCCTCCGAATCCTCGAACTCCTACATTTCCTGGCACTCCTAGATCTCCTTCCGGTCCATCTTTCCATCCGGTCCTGGTTGCTCTGGCGGTCCTGGCGATTGAATGCATGGCTGAAAATGAATTTTGCAAATGTTTTACAAAAAATGCTTCAAATCAAACTTGTCGTGAAAGTTGTGTTGAAATGAATCGGGCACCAAAAATTATTGTTGGGAAGTTTGTGTGGAGGTGAATACGAGAGGTCGGGTTGAGTCGAATATTGTGAGGTCTATGCGGTAAGACGAGAAACCGGATTGTAACCTCAAGCTTGGGTAATTAAACCTTTATTTAGATTAGGAAATGAACGAGCAAATGAATGAGTAAAATGGGAAAAATTGAATAAATTCAAGTGTGACTGTA